TGGCCTACCCTATGGCCTACCCTGTGGCCTACCCTGTGGCCTACCCTATGGTCTACCCTGTGGCCTACCCTGTGGCCTACCCTGTGGCCTACCCTGTGGCCACAGGGTAGGCCACAGGGTAGGCCACAGGGTAGGCCACAGGGTAGGCCACAGGGTAGGCCACAGGGTAGGCCACAGGGTAGGCCACAGGGTAGGCCACAGGGTAGGCCACAGGGTAGGCCATAGGGTAGGCCACAGGGTAGGCCACAGTGTAGGTCACAGTGTAGGCCACAGGGTAGGCCACAGGGTAGGCCTCAGAAGAATATATATTTTACTAAAGATAGCTTCCAGCTTGATGTGAAACATTACTGCACTTTAGCTGAATGTCCCATCTATTGTTATCTGTTTTATCTGGTGTTAACTTAAATACAACAGACAAATGTTAGTGTTGACTTAAATAAAACAGACAAATCTTAACTTAGTAATGACATGGCATACATTCTTTTATGTCATTGGTTATTTGAGGAACTTAGTTCCTGAAGAGTAAGGCTCATATTACAAGCCCAAATCTGGTTGGTTGACACAGTAACTTATTTCCCAAAGATCTCATTAAAAATGTATTTGAGATCTGATTGGTTCATTCAGTAACTAAGATACCTAAAATGTCTAGTACATTTTAAAATGGTCAAGTAAATTTAAATGGGGATGTGTTTTTATTAGAATATTGATGAACTTAATTTAATGATAAATATATGGATAATCACATGACTGTAGTTAAGGTGTGGTAGCCAATAGAATCCAGATTATGTAATAACTAAGGTATCTATCCAGTAGGAGTAAAAACTACACTTTTGCACTTCACAGACAAGAAAAGATCTTCTGAAGAGTTTGCCTGTGGCACACTTTGGCACAATTAGCTGAATTTTTACAACACTTATGCTACAAATGGAACTGCGTATCCCAAGAGAGGTATGAAGAATCTGAGGACTTATAATTTCTGGTCAACTTAGGCAAGACACTTTACTCTCACAGTGCATCTCTTTACCCAGGTGTTTAAATGGGTACCAGCAAATTTAATCCTTGGGGGTTACCCTACAATGGACTAGCATCCCATCCAGGGGAGGGGGGTAGAATTACTCCTTGTTGCTTCATGCTGCGGAAGCCGGAGTTAAGCATCGACCCGATTAGCCACATGGCTTGTAAGTAGACTTTACCTACCTCACCTTTAACACTTAATGACTGAAGTTTTTGTTAGCCATTTCAAATACCCTGGATTGAGGGTATGAAGAAATGGTATCTGAGTTAATTAGGAATACTCTTCCAATTTTTTAATGGCTGAACTATTCTTTCTGTGTGGCTTGGCCTACAATTTTGACATTGGAACATCTTTTGATTGGGTTTGATAATTCATTTGCCAAACTTTCCTTGTACTGAACCAAATGCATAAACTGTTAAGACTTATTTTATTTTAAAAAATTTGTCTTAAGTTGAAATGTGTACAGGATAGCTGTAACAGTTTATTTAGTACAACATCTGAATCAGCATGTGTACTTGATTAAATTTTGGTTGGTCCCAATTCAAATTACAGTCAAACCTTGGTTATCTGGACTTGCTGGGACTAGATGAAACAGTCCAGATAATCGAGGGTCTGTATAATCAAGAATATTAATATTAATGAGGAATGTAAACTGCTTAATTAATTAAGAAAGTGACATTTAATCCTGAAACAAACATTTACAAATCATTTTTAAAAAGATATAGTCTACATCATCACTTTCCTACATGAATACCTCTACACCTGTCTATTAACAATCAAAATTAATGAAAATTGTTTTTGCATTGGCCTAAAATGTTGAAGTCAGTCAGTAATTTGTCTTAAAGCAAAACATCACCTTCACTTCACTTTTCAATGTTGTAGTTTTAAAAAGAATATGGCTATGGATCTTGATAATGACTAATAAATATTCATGAAAATATTGGAACCAGAGAAGAAGTCTGGATAATCGAGAAATCTGTATGGTTGAGGTTTGGATTTACTTGATTAAAGGATTGGCATCAAGGGTGCTCGTTGTCAATTAAGGTTGTCATTCTGAGGCAAGAAAAAAGGAATACTAAATACAAACAAGATTTCAAACCATCAATAGTCAGGAATTGTCAGTAGATTTAGTTTAACAAATCTCTCTTAAAAATTTCAGTTTCCTTTATCCTAAACAACTGCTATCTCACCATTATTGGCAACCTCATCTGCGTGAGAAATTCACTCTGCAAGATGTCCGAAGGAGAACTAAATATCAGCTCCCTCTTGTGCGAGAAATTGGTTGATTGGCATTGAGACACAAAGCAAACAGGAGCTCAACTGATCTTATGTCTACTTCTGTGAAAGTAAGTACAAATGTTCTTCAACAGACATGGTTTGGTGCTACTTTGGTTTAAGGATTTAATGAAAGAATATAACCATGGAATTACAATTCATGAACCCAATGTTTTGACACTCCTGTCTAGCACCTTCAACAGGGGGGATCTAATCATTGCAACAAGAAGTCCTTTTCTGTGCTTTATATGCTATACGTCTGAAGCATGTAAAAGGACCTCTTTTTGCAAGAATTAGATCACCCCTGATAAAGGCACTAGATAACAATATCAATTAAAACATTGGATTATGACTTCTACTTACGTGGTAACATTTACCAAAACCTTAAACTAGAGTAGCATCAAACCATGTCTGATTGTCCACCCGCTTGCTTTATGAACTTTGATATGTTCTTCAACACTTTTCAGCTTCACACATTCTGATAATGTCTGACAATGAGCAGAAGACCTTGAATGATAAGTGACTTATCTCAAAATCTGGTCAGCCACTGGGATGAGTCTGTAGTCTACTACTTCATTTTGCATTTTCAAGTATTTTGATGTACAAGTACTACTAACAAATGAGAAAATTTTTAAGATTCGGTATCAGATTTTCAAATTCAGGTCTAGACATCTTGAAGAGTGTCTAATTACACTTTTCACTACCTTGTATATCAAACAAAGGCTGATTCCATATTAAACAGATAAGCCAAGGTTTGGGTGAAACCAGGAAAAGAGGAAGTTAAGACATTGATGTGGTTCTCAGGGCTAAATATTTTGTTTGCTTTTGATGGATGTCATTATCTATAGTGTTAAAGTAAAGATAATACAAACTAGTTTGAAACTGCCTCCCAGTTCGCTCAATTGGTTAGAGTACATTCCAGTTTGTCAATAAAGATTTGGCTGATAACAAAGATGTGACTGCAAAGTCATAGATGTTTTGCAGGCAAAGTCTTTTGAACTGTAGAGCAATGGAAAATTTCAAGAGTGTTTTGTAGCTTTCTGAAAGTCAACTGCAACGTGTAAGTGATTAGCATGTAAATTCTCACTAAGATATCCACACATCATCCAGTAAACAGGTAATGAGAATACTCTAGCATATCAGGTGGAGGTTGTTATCTTGATCAACACCAAATTGTTGTTACTAATTTACAAGGATATGTATAGCAACTAGAGGGGAGATTTGACAATATAAATTTGGGAGTTAAAGATCTAATTTTTTGTGTGTTATTATTTCCAGAAAAAGCTGAGTCATGTTTGGCTAATCACCCTGTGGCTTCCAAAGCCAATTCTGCGTGCACGTCTGAAAAATTTGATGAAATCAATAAAGAAAGAATATGCTGCCATAAAGAGGGAGGGTATTGAAATCCTTTGAGAAGAACAGTTAAAAGGAGTAAGGATGTCATGATTGTATAAAATTATGCTGTTTTGTATCGAAACAAATTCAACCCACATCACCCAATATACTCTGAAAAATCTTGAGATGAAATTCAATCAAGAGAATCTGAGGGACTGTCATTTCCAGAGCATATGATGTTTTTAGTATGGACAATTTCTATGAGAGGGGGTCTTATTCTGGGATATAACCATCACTTTAAGACTTACTAAAAGAAGGTAGGACTGAGATGGAGTGGATGTAAAAAAAAACATGCTTATTATAATCATCAGAAATCTAATAAATACATTGAAAAATTAAGCCAGAGATCAACCGCAGAAATGAATAAACAAATAAATAAACTTAAGGGAGTCATCATATGGTGTTTAGGTTCACTCCTATGCTAAAGGTCAAGTCTGTAAATTGTAACTGTGTTATCACCTCCCTCAGGTTCTTTTGTCAACATGTAATTACAGTGGAGTTCTCACCCTTTAACTCCCAGAAGTGATTAACATGTAACTTCTCCCTATAGTGTCCATACGATTTCTAACCAACAGGTAATGAGAATACCCAAACTTATCAGGCAGAAGTTGTTATCTTGATCTAAGCACCAAATTCTCATAAACAATTTACAAAGAAATGTGTAGCAGCTAGAGGGGAGAATTCAAAATCAGATCTCGTGAGTTAAAGGGTTTAATGCCAGCCGGCAGTTAAGAAACAAGCTATTTTGATTTCTGAGACGTTTGTTTTACATAACGTGTGTAAGTTGCTAACTGTACCTGACAGTAAGAAAATTAAAAAAAAATGCTGTACTTTTCTCTTTTTTAGGTTTGCCACTCAAGAGGCCTGGATACCAGTGATGTCGACCCAGAGGCACTGGTACAGTGGTTAGCTGAATGGGTGGAGCTGTCAGATGCGGCAGGAGGTAACGAAGTGTTGTGATGAGTTTTCGTGAGGCTATGCATACTGGAAAAGACATGAACAACAGTTTAAAACTTTCAGTCTCGTCAATATTTTTTCCTGGTTCGCACCCAATTGGTACTTGTTTGCGGTAAGAGAGGGATAACATTGTTTCGGTTTTGGTTCAATAACCAACCGCTGTGAAGGAAATGAGTTCGCGTCTCTCATCCAAAGTTTAAGAATGTAGACTGGACTAGAGAGAAAAATTGAGTCAATTTTTGGTTTGGTTGACCTGATTGTTCTTCTTTACAGACAAAGATGAATCTTTCTTGGCTCATTGTGCTGTCTTCAAGTCCATGAATTATAGTGAGGACTTACATGAAGATCAAACAAAGAGAAGTCGTCTTTAGAGAATTTCATTCTCCAGTTTCCAAGGACTACGAGTAGTTCCGCTTTCCCAACTTGTTTTTTCGAGTAAACGAAGACCAAAGACCTTTGGGTGCCAAAAAACTGGAGCCATATTACTTGCTCCCTCTCGTCTATGTATTTAATTTTTCTTTTCGCGCACAACGTCGATTTTTACTCGCTCGGCAAACTTAGCCGGGAAGAAGGAGCTTCCCATAACGACCATAATCAACAGTGTTCACTGCAAGTGGGAACACCTTTCAAAGGCGAATTATATTAGAGTAATTGTTTCCTTTATTTTCTATAAAATTGAATGATTTATACACAGAAATGAAAATTTGGCACTTTGAGTGACATTTACACAGTTTTCACAAGTCTAAGTACCTCAAGATATCGGCGCTTTTCAATTATCTAGAAAGAAAACAAACTTATTAAAACAAACTTTATAAACGATGGGGTTTTGAGAAAAATGGCATTTTAAAACTAATTACCACGCAGTAGAAGANTTACAACTTCATTCATTCTCTGTGTATTTATCGTAAAATTCATGACGTTGAATTCGTAAACGAAGATTGGTGACTAAAGGTATCGGTACCAAAATGGCGGCGGCTCGCAACAAGTTCTTTCTATAGCCTTATCTAGCCTTCTCAAAGTTATTTATTTGCTTCGAGAAAAGACTAAACAAGTAAACGAACAGACTTAGTGAAAATACTTTTGGACGAAAAGACTTGGACGAAAATACTTTTGGACGTAAAGACTTGGACGAAAAGACTCTCGGACGAAAAGACCGGACACCGTGCAATGTTATGTATCCGTTCATGGAATGTTTTAACAGAGCAAAGATTCGTAAGTTTCTCGGATCCAAATACCTAGGAAATGTTTCCCACAAGTGAAAGAGTTGATTCTAGGAGAAGTGATGAATTCAGTCTTTCGTAGATTATTTGGATAACAGTCGACTATAAATAGGCGATGGACACTTCTGGAATCGACCAAGTTCAAAGTTGCACATCCAACCCAGAAAAATGAGTCGACGTCAGTTTTTTCTGTATGGTGAATAATAATAAGTACCTCTTTCGGGACGGCAAAACCCAGATGTTTTTTAAAACTTTAAACCTGGTCGCCTGGGAAAGGTTTAAAAACCTTTCCCAGGCCGATCAGGTCAAATCAAGCGATTAAGTCAAAGAAATGCTGTTCAAAGTCCTAAATCGGTTCGCTATTCACGTAATTTCTTTGTCTTTGGAGTGTTGTTCCAAATAAATATGTATTAGGGAAATTTCCCTCTTCAGTACCGACGATTTCGCTTCCGGCGATTGCGATATCTTTCTGCGGGAGGTTGCTTTTTAGACGTATAAGCTCTTATCTACTTACTTACAGTAACTTTATCATATGAGTGCTTTGCCGAAGGTATTGATGGACTTTACGAACATCATGTGGTGCTCAGTTGAAGGTGAGGTTCTTCGCTTCACATTTGAGATTAGAATACGATCAGAAAGATTGACAGCAGAATGAACTAGTTAAAATGCTCTTAATGTATACTGACTTGCATAGTTTAAGGCAAATCCTGGAAATTTATGACATGTTTTAGGTTGAATGTGGATTCGTGGACAACCACGCAGCATTCGTTGGTTCTCTTCGTGGACACTTCGCGGCGCCATCCAAAATGCCTCTCCTCGTTGAATAGTTTGCGTAGTTTGCCAAGCTCATTTAGTCTATAAAGCTGCTCTGAAATAAATCAATTAAAATTTCACATAGCGAAATTGGACGATTCGATTGAGGCCTTGAGCTATATAGTGCATTTCTTTTTATTCCAAGCTTTCGTCCATCTGCGGCATTCCCTGACAATGCCGTCGCTTGGAATGAAAAGAAATACAATCGCTCAAGGCCTCGATCGAATTGTCTATTGAACTTGATCCACATGCTCAGCGCTGAAGGACAACTTCAGTATTCCACCAGTCACGTAGCGTTTGCATAGTACATATTAAGCGAACTTTTATGACCGTTGGCTAGTCAAATGGAGACTGACATTGGCCGGTACTGAAATAAGTTCAGCTATCGAATTAAACGTTTCTGTTTACGGGTAAATTACAATTTTAGTCGCATTTTCCCGGAGATGTGTCTCGGCATGTTAATGGCCCAGTACAAATTAACTTCAGCAGAAGTTTGCGTTAGGCTTGTTAGGTTTAATTACACCCACAACTTTGGAAAGAGCATGAATTAATTATTCCTCGCTCTACTTTTTTATTTTGCTAGCTTAACTGAGCGCTCAATCGTTTGATTGACAGTAACATTGAAATCTGCAAAGAGACTTTAGTAATGTTGGAGTGGGCCCTGTAAGTATTCTGCGCGATGGAAACAAAGGGTGATGTATAGTTTTGCCTCGAGCGATGGCCTCTTGTGATAGACTTGTTTTCGTTAGCAATGGGGGGATGTATTTGTATCTACATTCTTTCTTCAGTTGTTTATGACTTGATGATAAGCTTGATACTATTCTTTAGATTTAATTTCCAAGTCAAATTTGTTGAAATTGAATCATAATTTAATTGTCTGCAGTGATTTGCCGTTCGCACAGAAAGTGAACGACCGAAACCGTTTCCGAGTGGTCGACGTGAGAGCTATACAATAACAGCTTCTCTGCGACTGATAAAATGACCTCCGAGGTTACAGTACCGATCGCGAGAGGAGGGAAGTGTAAGGTAAAATCCCGAAGGAAAAAGACCAGACCTCGTGAAGTGCTTCGTCCGACCGATGAAAAAGCAAATTTTCAAAGGTGTACACGTCTGTTAATAGGTGGAGGTACAGCATTGCTGAAAGAGAAGTTTGATCAGTTATGTCCACCACGTGATCTTCCGAAAGTTTTGGCCGACCCATCAACAAAAGAAAAACTTTTGACGGAAGCAAAGCTAACAAAACCACAATGGGAACGTCTGTACCCCTCTCGGGGTGCTGTTGCTGTATCAGAAGATTTTGATATTTCTCTACTCTTTAAATTGCTGACTACAATAACCAAAATCCCCGCACCCGACCTTGGCTGGAATAGCAAGCCGCACCGTAAAGAGGACAGCCTGGGAGCAGATCTAGCACGAATCAAATACTATCGCAATAAGGTGTATGGCCACGTGAACCAAGAAATGAGTTTAGAAGAGGATGATTTTCATTACTACTGGGATAAAATCGAAAAACCCCTAACACGAATTGCAGGGTCCATCAGCCGAGAAAAAAAACGAGAATGGGAAAAAGAGATCGATAACTTTAAAAGTAACCCTCTTACGGCGAATGAAGAGAGGTACGTAGAAG